TCAGATCAATTCTAAAGCTGCTAGATGTTATATTGTTTGCTATCAAATTTCTTTCCAGCTGTGGCAAACATATCACCTATAGAAGTCAAATACTTACAACCTGCTGTCAGTGCTGTGTCCAGGTAAACATTACATATGGCAATGGTTATCAGACCCTGTTAGGGTCATTTGACAGTTATTCAATATGACTTGAGGTGATGACATACCTTTGATTGCAAGGCCTCAATGAATGATATTGGGTCTTTTAATGCCTTTTCCTTCCATAAGTGCAGCTTCTCAAGATCCTAAATCACATCAATGAGCATCAAGCAAAAGCAATACACAACAATTTTGATGTGAAAGTTCAAACTGATGGCAGAGAAGCCAATGTACTTTCATTGCAAGGAGTAGATTAAACTAATTTGCAAAAAACTAACAACCAAAATTGTAATAAGATAGATTCTTTTAAATCACTTAATCACAACAATGAGCTAAATATAAAATGAACGAGACAATGATAAGAAGGATTATTCATTTAAACATGAGAGAGTCTTTTCAGCTAGATTTTTAGTTAAGAAACAGTAATAAAATATAATATAGAAATATAATATAGAAATATAACAAAATACCTTTACAGAATCCATTCTGGCTGCCTCTAACACAATCAATGTTTTTAACATATTCTTGTAACTATGTATGCAAAAGACACAATCATTATTTTCAAATGCAGGATCAATTTTCCCATCAAATTGACACATCAATACTCTTTTGGCATCTGGCATTGGTTTATATCTATTCCCCCTTTAAGACTTTTATGGCCCCAGGTCACATACTTGGGATTATCATTAAACCAAAACCCTTCATTTTATTGAAGAAAAATGAATCCCCTAGAAAATATCCTAAAAAGATAGGGTATGGAGTAATCCTAATGGTGTCTCTGCACCATTAAATTTGAGGTATAAGCGACATAAATCAGGCGTGAAAAGGCTGGAGCAAGTTTGAAACAAAAAATTTAAAGACTCACTCTTTGTTGTGCTTGAAAGCAAGGTGATCAGACTCAAAATAAAATCTATCAAATACATCCCCATCATCATCATCATCAGAATCATAATGACAACTGGAATCCTCATCATCACTTGATTCACTACTGTCGTTAGCAGCATTTTCAATTGACATCATCGTTGTCTGAAAATTGGACAGATCTGTGTCTATATTATCAATATTGTTTTCTTTGGGTTCATTCTCTGTATGTTTTGAGTTCTGTATAAGGGTAGGCTTCTTAAAATCATTTATGTCTTTAGGAACTTCTGTGACAATGCTGGCGGAAGATTCTATCTGCTGAAGTAAAAAACAGATTTTTGGTGATAATTCTTACTGTTTTTTCACAAGCTCTTCTCAAGAGCCACCATACTCTACAGGAAGATGTCTGGAGAAATGGCTTCACGGTCAACTAAGCAAAATACAAGAACAGGCATTAAAGTAACTCTGAAAAATCAAATAAATGATCAAATTATGATTACCTAGGTATGAACTAAATAGATAGAAACAACCCAAGGTGCATTCCATGTAGTGTTGGTGTGGAGTTTTGTTTTTTCATGTGGCATTGGTGTGAGATGAGCATTTTCTGGTGTATGGCATACACTGGAATTCTGGTGAAATTGGGCTCTTATTCTGTAATTTTCCTATGAAGTTCATCATCATCATCCTCACTGCATCAATAATCTGCCTTGGAATTACAGAGGGAGGATGAGGGGTTTGGTTGAAGTAATGTTCCTTGCTTGTGTATTGGACCTTGCTTGGTGTACTGCCCTGACCTTGGCCTACCTTCGGCCTTAGGTTTACATAGAATGCACCCTGGGTAACAAAGGGTTTTTACACATATATTACATCTCTTTGACTAGGCATTTATTGGATAACAGGTGAAGGGTAAATTATTTGTTTAAAAAAAGGATTTGGGCATGTTTACAAAGTCACTTTTTTCGTTCTCTTCTGGTTCTGTTTCAGTGCCTCTCCGTGAATCTTCTTCCATTTCTTCATCATGTTTTGTTTCATCTTCATCTACTACACATATTTCAACATCACTCTCTCCATCATTGGTAATCTGGCTATTATTCATATCGTCTGCTCTCTTTTCATAAATTTCGATACTTTTTCATGTGTTTTTCGAAATTCTGCAGAGCCATTTGAAATTGAGGCTAGAAATCTGTCAGGGCTTTGAAATCGAGGTTTGAAAGAAATAGTAACTTTCAACAATCACATTTCGTTTCGTTGACAAAATGGAAGGGGGTATCCATTGGTCAGCAGTGTACTTTTGCAGAAATTGATGTGGTTAAAATCTTCCTATAGCTGTTGACTTGACCGAAGAAAACTTTGGGTAGGCTGCTTAGTATCTATGAAAGAAAAAAAGGTAACTTTAATGTCATATTAAAGTTTTTGTTTACTTTTTGATAGTGTGGCGCTACAAACACACACTTACCCAATTATTTCCTATTCTCCGTTCCATATTGAGGTCATCGAATTTGCGTCTTACTATCTACAAACCTTTCTCAAAAAGGACTTGTGATTTGAAATCTTCATCTTGAAATTAGTTTAGACTAAAAATTTCATGTCGTTTGGACAATTCGGTCGCGAGTTAAGTCAATTTGAATATTTAGATATTTCTTTAGATTTGACCGGAATTCGCTGAAAAGCTAATTTTTAAAAAGTGGGCTAATTCGCTGTCTGACGGGCCAAACAACATGAAATTGTCAAGACAGACTAATTTGAACATGAAGATTCCAATTCTCTGATTCATTTATAAGGCAAGTGTGAAGATAAAAAATTTCCAGAAACAGTGAATAAAGGCCATTTCAAGTGGATAGTGTTTTATCGAACAAAAGCTGTTGCCAATATTCTCTTTCTAATAGAAAATAACGGCAGATCCAGGCTGCCGCAAGCGCCTTGCATAAGGCAGTCAGAATTGTCAAAGAATGCGCAAGAAAATTCCAGCTGAACCTGGCTAAACCTGAGATGTCTTACCACTTTATACCTTCTGCCTTTTGTACGGTTTTATTTTTGCTATGGCGCAGCAGCGCCCCACCCCCCCCCCCCATAAATCTCGTGCTCAAGTTGCTAAGGAGAGACATAGGAGAGACATGCCAGTTTCATTCTGCATCTGGCTACCCCTTTGTAATCATTCTTAATTGTGCAGGCCTATTTAGCAACTCTTATTGTGCAGCCCCCTTCTTTGTGCAGTAGTCAGGATTAGTTCTGGATCCGCCCCTAATAAAAGACGTAGCTTCTACTCATGTTTTACTCTAGTGATTAATTTGAAATGTTAGTCTTACATACCAAATAGCGCATCACAAATAGGCTTTCCTGTTGTTCAAGTTTTATCCATCTGGATCTCTATGGCCGTGCAAAAAGCAAACAGTATTGATAGATGTCATAACTAAGAATGTTTTATCTTTTTTACCTATGGAAAATTGAAGCCTTTTTAAATAAGCACTAGATGCAAAAAGGTCCCAAACTGCATCATTTCTAACAAGGCTCCTTGCTTTAAGCTCTAAAATACAGCAATTGAATGAAATATTTACAGTACTGTGCCAGTGTAAACATTTGCTGCATTTGCCAAAAGGAATTCAACTCAGCCAAACAAGTCACTAAAAATTTCAACCTATATTTCAGTCAAATGCCCCCGGTGAAAAATCTTCTCGCAGGATCCTCACAGGATATTGGTAAAGGATCCTACAGGATCTTGTGCAAGATTCTGTACAAGATCCAATAGGATCTTGTATATATTCTGTTGCGTTTGTTTGTGTTTTTTCCCATAAAGTAGCTTTTTAGTTCTTGGTATTAAAGCAAACTTTTAAAACGATACAAAGATTTCTAAACTTGGTAGCAAATTGGCTGTTGGCGGTTTGAAACAGATTTTGAGCAATTTGAAATTTTAAAGTGCAATTTTCAAGGTTCACACAAAATCTACTCATTTAAAGTGTTTCCTGAAATTAGCCTTCTTGGCCTTTACATGTTTTAGCAGCAGTTTTAGGTCAGACTCTAATTTTTTTAAAATAATCTCTGGTCTAGCACAGTACCAAAGAAGAATATTCATTTACCTGCTGGGCTGGATCCATTCTTCTCGATTCTTTTGCTTGCAATCTTGACTTTTTGGAAAAAGCGCCTGACAGATGTTCAGCATTTTACATCTCTGGAAGTCTTTTCTCTGTTCTCCACCAACAGATTGTCTCGTTCAAGATGTGACCTGCTGGACTGCCAAGTGTCCTCTGATTGGCTGGTAAAAAAGGCATGCGACAATTCACTTCATTAGCGATGGTTATCGCAGTTTATGAATCCCCGTACCTACCAGAACACCGGTTACAGCACGATCGTTATTTGAAAAATATTCTTTCTAGTTCAACATCGTTTTCTATAACCATATTTACCCAACAGCATATCTAATTTGGGGTGCAATGATAACCAATTTGTGCAATGACAAAACGGTTTTGTGCAGTGCTAAAATGGAAAGCTGCTCCGTTATAAAACTGGTGCTTTAATTATGGCGACGAATTTTATGCCTTTTAGATAAACTTCAAACTTTTTGAACCTTAAAAAGAAAATTGATAGCCTGAACATGCCCAGGGCCCCCAAGAGTTGGGGAAGAGGCAGTAGTGTAGCCAAGAAAATTGTTTAGAGGGATGAAGAGGCGATTTTTGCCGACAAAAAAGGGCGTGTTTCAATCTTTAAGGGTGTGGTCAAAAGATAAATACTCTTGCATGCTGCTTTTATTCCTTTCTGTTTCAAAGTTTATACTCTAGTGCCATACTTTGATAGTTCAACTACACAGAAATGTTGCAAAAAGGTTGCAGAGCGAGTGCCCAGCAAAAATCCTTACTGTGCCGACCAACAAATTGTTGGGATACCACACCCCCACCGTACCCCCCTATGCTGACGCCTCTGGGAAGAGGGGGCAAACTGCAACAGAGAATCAACGTCTAGCATCTAAGGGGCCACATAAAGTAATGAGTTCCATTTTAAATATGGAATTAACTCAACTAGAAGAGTATGCCTAGAAATAGTAAATCGATTTAAGCCAATACATGAAAGTGACATGAAGAAATAATTCTGAAATGTATTTGAAAAAGCTAAACTAAAGGGTGTGGTCTTTATATACATCAGAGATTGATATGATCATATGTTTTGTTTTTCTTGCGCTTTGCTGCATCAAAAGTCCACGAAATCGATTGATATACACTTAGGATCAGGGGTGTAGTGCTAGGGGCTGAGCCCCCCTTGTTAATGCCAAAAACTTGGCAAATTTATATTTTTCTGTTGTTTTTTGCAACTTTTTGTGCAAGAGCCCCCCTTGTTATTTTGATAGCACTACACCACCGCTTAGGATTCAAGATGTTGGTAGGATCCTGGTCAGAATGTAACAGGATCCTCTTTAAGATTCTACAGGATCCTATCGTTATATTCAAGATCCTGGCAGGATCCATGTCACAATCAAATAGTATCTTGGAATCGTTATGTGTAAGATCCTAATCTAGTTCTTGTAAGATCCTGCAATGTCACTATGGATCCTAGCAAGATCCTATTCAAGATCCTGTTTTAGAATTCTGTAAGATTTTTGGTAGGATCCTGTGTAAGATCTTCAGTTGTTTATCTCCTACAGGATCCTTATGTAAGATCTTGTATAGGATCCTATACATTTAGGATTCAAGATGCTGGAAGGATCCTGGTCAGAATGTAACAGGATCCTGTTTGACTTTGTACAGGATCCTATCTTTATATTCAAGATCCTGACAGGATCCATGTCACAATCCAATAGGATCTTGGAATTGGTATGTGTAAGATCCTAATCTAGTTCTTGTAAGATCCTACAATGTCATTCTGGATCCTAGCAAGATCCCATTCAAGATCCTGTTTTAAAATCCTGTAAGATTTTTGGTAGGATCCTGTGTAAGATCTTAAGTTGTGTTTGTCTTACAGGATCCTTATGTAGGATCTTGCATCAGATCCTATGCACAGGATTTTGCAGGATTTTTGGTAGGATCTTGTCCAGGATCCTAAAAATCTAGGATCCTCCTAGGATCCCACAGGATCCTGTAGGATCCTGCAAGATTTTTCACCGGGGGCCTTTTTGATATCCGTTGTCTTAAATGCCAACTCAATTGACCGTACCATGTTTGATCACTCAAGAGTGTTGACCAGTATCCAGTATGCAGAGCGTGGCAATGGCGTGCCAAAGATGCAGACATGGTAGTGCAACTGAATATAGAAAAGTGGTAGTGCTAGGGCACCCCTAAAAACTATCTTTTAATCTATATACTATGGAGGTTGAAATTGCTGGCACACCTGACATTTTTAGATGTTTTATGCACACCCGCACCTGAGGCAGGGGCTGTTGGCACACCCGAGATATTGTTAGAATGGGTCATACTCTGCAAACTGCAGCCAGATGTTTGTTTGAGTTGTTAGATTGATTTTTGAGTTGTTGACTCAAATGTTAGCTTGTTTGGCTAGCTGTTCTGTTGGAAACAGTGGCTAAACGGACATATGTTTTGATTTTTTGTTTCTTAGATTGAGAAAATATACAGTTTTAAAGCCAGGGGTGACTAAGCCCCTCCCAAGATTTATTCAAAGGGAGCTCAAGCTCCAAAGCCAAATGAATTTTCTAAGAAGCGATTTTCACACTTTAGGCCAAATACCCTTTTATATATTAATAGCTAAATGTTCCATTTTACATTTTGTAAAAATTACAAAATAAGCTATTACTTGTTACATTTGATTATTAAAGCCTAGATACAAGTTTATTTTTTAATTGAAATGAACTCTCAAGCCGAAGGGAAGCACTGAAACATTAAAGAAGTTTTGAACACAGTCCCCAAGGTTGACTTAGTCCTTCATAAAACAGCTTCTTCTACCAGTAAAATTAAGTAAAACAATGCTGGCCACATTCCTCTCCCTTCTTGAGGGGGAGGGGGGGGGGGGGTTATGAAGTTATTGGATCCTGAATCCCACAACCAGGTATATGAAATCAAACCAAATGCAAGAGGCATGGCTTGCAGCTGAAACAGCAATTATGCAAATGGGTAGGTAGGGGAATGGCACTACATTATTATTAAGTAGCAAGGTTGTCAAAATTTCCTTTAATGTTTAACCTACTATGTTACTAATTGATCGTTACAGATCGCTCTTATTTTTCCAATATACATCTTTGATATTTGATATTTTATTTTAGTGCGTGAAAAGTGCTGAGTGAAGGATGGAAAGATCAAACAGCAAAATGAACTTCATATCAATAGACACAGCATTTTATGACAAATATGATAAGTCAGCACAAAGTTTCTCATTAAGAAGGGTAAAATTTGTCATCTTATTAATATTTGAATGCAATCTATTCAGATAATTATATTGTAGCATATAATAGGTATATAAAGGACTTCTTTGGAATGCCATTACCTTAGTTTGACCCCTCTCCACTCTCATTATTTACAAAACATTAAGATTTCTCCTTTTCAAAATACCCTTTTTAAAGGAAATGATCAGTAGCTATAAAAACATTCTTTCCTGTTCTATATATACTGTTTTTGTTAACCTGGTAGCATTTGCACTTTAGCAATATTTTGTAGGCCCAGGAGGCAGAAACACTGTTAAGACTTGGACTGTTTCAAGAGGGTTGAAAGTTTTATTTTTTCGAGAATTTGCATTTCATCTAATGGTAGGATTCAAGTAGAATATTTTGAATGTTCCTGAGTTATTCAACCACTATGAATCCCCTGTCTCTGATGTTAGGTGAGTTCTTACTGTTTGATTAATGGCATTTTTTTAATCTTTTAGTTCTGGAGGAAGATTCCTACTTTTCAAAAATGCACAATTTTTATGATATTTTTCGTAATTGTTCCGCTATTATTCTTGTTTATCAAATATACAACACCGAATATACAAGCCATAGAATTGGACAGGGAACACAAACCACACAAAGAGTCAGATGAAGCCAGAAGAATTTTATTTCCATTAAAAAAGGGTTTACTACAACCAAAGACATTAAACTTTGAGCCAAAGAAAATACAACTCAAACATGGTCCCCCTAAACTAGCTCCCAGGAATAAGTTAGAGAAAATTAGGCAAATAATGGAATCAAAAATAACTTCTAAGAATCTTGATACAATGTTGAAAACTGAAGCAAATACAGTAAGTTTTAAGAGTGAAGTGGAAGAAGGAATTTTAAAGAAAGACCTTGCAAAGCATCCAGAGCTTGTAAAGCAAACCAATAGGCAGAAGGAAGTTGTAAAGGCTTTCTTGCATGCATGGAAAGCCTACAAAATATATGCATTTGGACATGATGAATTAAGACCAATTAGTAAAACCTTTAGTGAATGGTTTGCTCTTGGATTGACACTAATTGACTCGCTTGATACAATGTGGCTGATGAATTTAAAGGAGGAGTATAAGGAGGCTAGGGACTGGGTGGCAAATGAACTACGATTTGACAGAGCTGGTGATGTAAATTTGTTTGAATCAACAATCAGGATCCTTGGTGGATTACTTAGCATATATCATCTTTCTGGGGATTCCATGTATCTTCAGAAAGCTGTGAGTTTTTTTTTCAACAGTATTACTCTATTAATTGATTTTTTTTACCCCCAGGGTTTATAATAATTTTCATGCCGAAGAAATAAGGCTTAATCAAGAGGGAGAAGCTCTCAAGTTGAATGATATGAAACTACACGTTGATGCTTTAATGTAAAAAGCGCTGTTAGTTAATGCATTAAGCTGTTTCCAATTTGATTATTTTTTAAAAACCTGATAGTACAAAAGAGAGCTTTTTTGACTGGGGGCTTCTTAAAGATTTAAGCTGGGGGTTTTATGAAATCATAATGTGTGAATTTAAAAAGTATTATCAGTGAAAATTATAATGCATTATTGTTCATTGTTTTCAAAACAACTCAATTTTTAGTATGCTTACAGAAGAGTAAAAGGTATACATTCAGTTTATTTTAGGGGCTCAGTTGTTACTTGTTAGCAGGAATTCTGCTTACTAACTTGCTTATCAAATTAAATAGCATACATATATGTTTGTGTGTATAAGCCCTTTTTCTTTTCAAATTTAAACTGATTCTTTGATGTAATTAGTATTGTAAATTTTCAGAAAGAACTTGGTGATCGACTGCTGAAAGGTGGCTTTTCTAGTGGTTCCAAAATACCATTTTCTGATGTTAACTTGATGACACAAACAGGCCATTCCCCTCAGTGGAGTCAATTTAGTTCATTGTCTGAAGTATCCACAATTCAGCTAGAGTTTAAAGATCTCAGCAAAGCTACAGGGAATAAAGCCTATGGGGTATGTTATGTACATAGCTATATATGTTATATGTCCTCGTGTAGATTAATGTTTTCATAAATTGTTATTGTTAGATGGATGAATCAATATGTCTTTAGAACTTGATTAATATCACTTGATTTGGAGATAATTTTCCAAAGTTCTTTGCAACTTACAATTAAAGTTTAAAAAGGTTTTTGAAAGAAAGATGTTGTATTTATTGCTTTATCTTAGAGACATTACATGGCAATTGTTAGCTTTGTCATTTATGCATGACTTGACCCGCATATTTTGAAACCAATGGTCTATCACCTGTGTTTTTTTCCTCTATAACCAAAGCTCATACGATTTCCTTCCCCTTGTTGCTAAAAAATCCTCCATTTCCATTATTTGTCCTAAAAAACCATCCTTTAGTATTTGCATAATTTCCCTGAGAAATATAAAAAATGTGTCCTTTTTTAGGAATAATATAGTTGCTCAAGAAAATTGTCATAGCATACAGACCAGAACCACCACACCTAAGGAATCTTTCAAGTTGATTGCTAGATAAATTCTTCAGAATATCGAATTATAAACAAAGAATTAAAGGATATAATATACTTTAGAAATTAATGCATGATGAGCTCTGTTTTGTTGTTTCACAATCATCTTAACTTGTTTTTAGGAGGCAGTTGATTCTGTTATGGATCACATTTTTTCACTACCAATGAAAGACAATTTAGCTCCGATTTTCATCAGTCCAATGAATGGACAGTTTATGAGTGGAGCAACAATAACCTTAGGAGCTAGGGGTGATAGCTACTATGAGTATTTACTGAAGCAATGGATCCAATCAGGCAAGAAGGAAAATAAGTATGTTGTTGAAAAAGACAATATTGTTTTTTGAAAATTGATTTCATGCTTTGGGCAAAATACTGTGTTAAGCTACACATTTTTATCATTGAGTATTGGACTTGAAGACCTCTCAAAAGAGGAATCAAGCCAGTAAATTTAATCAAAGATTTAAAATTTCATTAATGTTTCATCAATTCTTGTGATAACCTTTTTGGATATAGTTGTAGCTTGATTTTACTCAGCAATGTATTTTCTGCTTCTTGTGTGGTTATTCTTGTTATTGGCAAGACTTTCAGTTCTATTTTGCAACACCGCCCTGTGAAACTCATTTACTTTGCTATTTAGGTTCAAAGACAATTATGTTAATGCTGTCAACGGCATCTTTGAAAAGCTTGTTAAACATGCAAAACCAGATGGTTTGGTGTTTGTTGGTGAAATTCTTAATGGCTTGACATTCAGTCCAAAAATGGTATGTCATTGACTGTTGTACACACATCCTTGCTGAAAGTTTGCGAGAAACAAGGACTTGGACTATAGGAAATATATTTTCAAAATATTGATAAACCTATAAAGCAATTCATGCTAGTTTACAAAAAAACAGTTTAAATATTCTAATATCCAAACTGATTCTAATGTTTTTTATCAATGTCACATGTCAATATGGTAAGACTAAACCATTTCTTGTGGTGAAAGCTGTTTCATATAAAATAATTTATAAAATTCAGCGCAACAACCCAAAGTTTAATAATATTTCCTGAAATCCTGAATGCCAGGATGCATTGGGAAAAATTGTATCTTCTTGCGTGCTTACTGTTTTCAGGGTACTTTTGATGGACTTTCAATTCGATATCTAGTTTTGGCTTAGGATTTTGAAAGGTTTAGGGTTGAACTGTAGAACCTAAGTCACCTCTGTGTTATCATGTTATTAGAAAATTATATTTCTGTGCTATTTTTGGAAACCATAACATATTAGTTCTGCCATAGGACCATCTTGTTTGTTTTCTTCCTGGAGTTCTGGCATTGGGCTTTCACAATGGGCTAGATGTAAAGCATATGAATTTGGCAAAAGAACTCCTTGAAACATGCAACAGAATGTATACAGATATGCCAACTGGTCTTAGTCCTGAGATTGTATATTTCAACATGGATAACAGCGGAAGCAAAGATATAACTGTGAAGGTAGCATATTGCATTGTGATTTCAGTCTTGTAAAAGATGTCAGGTGTATAAAAATGAGCAATTCATGTCTTTTATATCTTGACAAGTAAATTTCAAGTGGTTGAACAGGTTTTATCATCTTTTAGTGAATGTCTCTCCTCTCCCCAAAACAATGTTGGAATCTGACTACAAAAGGGCGACAGTTGAAAGTGGGGATTGAAACAGTGCATTGGATGTTTAGGGAAATACTTTTCTTCCTTTTCAACATTTTTTAAGGGGGGGAGGGGGGTCAGTCCTCTTGAAATAGAACAAATACAAGAAGAAATGTGCATCTACTACAATCAAAATCTTGTTGTTCCAATCTCTTTTGGCAGCCATTGTAGCCTGCATAGAAACTATACATTGTAGTCGAGCCAAAAGAGCTATAAAACCTTTAGGAAAATTCTTGGAAAAATATTAGTTTGATTGATGAGAAACTTTCTTTTTATTGCACTTTGTCTGTAATTGTTTTTTTGTAATATCATTCAACAAATACTAAAATGGAGGTCACCAACTACCTTTTTTCATTCTGTTTTTATCAACATTTTGCCAAATCATGCATAATAAGAAATTATAGTAATTTGAAACCATGCCTGATTCACAAAGGATATATTGCTAATTTCATTAGCAATGCCAGAAATATTTTGTTAGATTCTCAAATCTGACATCTTTTTGTTTTGCTTTTTTAGCCAGCAGATACTCACAACCTTTTACGGCCAGAAACAGTTGAGTCAATGTTTGTTTTACACAGTCTTACTGGTGACAAAAAATATCAAGATCAAGGATGGAAAATCTTCCAAGCATTTGAAAAGTATACTAAGATCAAAGATGGAGGGTACTCAAGCATAAACAATGTTTTAAGCCCACATTCACCTGACTACAAAGACAAAATGGAATCATTCTTTTTAGGAGAAACCCTGAAGTATTTGTTTTTATTATTTGGAGATGAGAACCAAGTCTCATTGGATGACTATGTATTCAATACTGAAGCACATCCACTCCCTATTTGGAAGTAAGAAAATTGTAGGTGTATTTTATTGTAATAACAATATTTTTGAAAGCGATGCTGCTCCAAATCACAAATAACAATTTTAAATTGTCTGCAAAAAACTAAATTTATAGGACTGAAAGCAACTTATCTTCAAACTTAATAATCAGTAATGACAGCGTTTCATTAGCAAATAAATGAATCAAGGCTGAATCTGCAGAGAATGTGTAAAATACACTTTGTGCAATGAAACTTAAGAACTTTGTACAAAATGTTTGATGTGTATTTTTTCATTCTAAAATACTGCAATATTTGAATTTCATGATGAATATTCAAAATTTTTGATGGTAGGATCAAATAACGCCCGAGCAAGATAAAGCAAATATTTGCTTTTTAAGAATTCTGTTTCCTTGGCCAAAGTTTTGAGAAGATTAACATTATCAAGAAAGGCACACTTTTAAAGATAATACTTTTAGGAATTTTATCAAAGACAATTATGTCAGAGATAATGTAAAGATGTATTGATTCTTCATTTTGCAGCCATTCTATAGTTAGTCATTTTTTTCATAATTTAATGAAATGAAAAGCAACATTAATGAGAACAAAAATTTTCACAAGGGTGTATCATACTCATGGTATTTGTAAGCGGTTTTGATTATTTATAGATTGCCAAAAGTGTAGTTGAAAGCAAGCTGTTAGTTTAAAAATTCTTCTATATTATAATCCAAAATGGACAATTTTAGGGTAATGAATAATTGGGAAGTTTTACTCAATCTAAAAAAATGATGATAAATAATTATGATTCAGAAGTGATAAATGCTTTTTTATTGATTCTTAATTTATGCTAATAGTCTTTTGAGGTACACCCAGCCCATTTGCTTTAAAATGGGTTGCTCTAGTTATTTTATGCATGTGATGGAAGCCACCTAAATTGAAGTATGAAATAACAATACAACAGAATGCACAATTCTTCTAACGAAATCAATGTCTTCTTGTAATTCAAAGATACAAAAATTAAATAACTATAACATTTTTGCTAAATATTTCAATTTAATTGTTTCTTGGTCCCAAATAATCAAAATTTAAAATGTGAGAGTAAATCTTTTCAGGGTTGGAAATTCTGGTGCAATTCTGGTTTGATGTCGTAGACTAATTCCAAAATTCTGTTTATTACATCACTTTTGTTCTGGTTGACCATGTTGCTCATACTGTCAAGTTTATTTGATGTCTCATTGATGATTCTTGCTTGGAAATCATCCTTGCCTTGTTGCTGAAAGTGGTAAATCAAAACTGCAAAACATGTTGGTTACTCAATTTAATGTTTTCACGAGCTTCAAACTTTCTATTTATAAAAATATTTGTCAATAAACTGAAAAAAAACATGAAATCTCTGATATTCTATAGCAAGGCATTTATTGTTCAAAACTATGATAAATTGATATGCAAAAGGGCTTTGGAAAAAGCAAACATGTCTGAAGGAATTATTAATAAAAAAATTCTCAGACAAGAATTGTAAGAAAATAAGAAACAATGCAACACACAGAGAATAAACAACAACAAAACACATCAATTAGAGGAAGCTATTATTGCACCTTGGCATATTGTTATGTTTAATATGTTAAACATATCAATAACATATGAAAAATGTTAGTATGTTTAAAAATGTTTGCCCTCTTCAAAGCCATCTTTAAATTCAGTACTGCTAAAAATTGTCATAGAAACATGTTCATTGATATAGTTTAAAAAATATTTCCATTTTATCCTGTTTCTAGTGAGTATGATTAATAATTTACACTGAACTTACACTTCTATGCTTTTCCCTGAATTTTGCCTCACACTCATTCCTATACTGCTCAATGTCTGCAGCTGCTTCCTCTTTGGCTTGTTTCAGCTTTTTTGTTTTGCCTTATCAGAAAGAAAAAATACTAAAAGGTCATTTTGTCATCTATCACATCCTGAAAACCTAGCAGTGTTATTACTATTTGGATCAGAATCACAGATAAAGGGAAGATTGCGGACCATAACATCAGCCTTACACCAAATATAATTTTCAAGATAGCATAGAAAAGATGAAATAGCATGCTAAAATACTTTTATCTGCCACTTCTCAGAGTACTTTTAGTATGATATGGTTCTGATATTCTCCATTTTGTGTTGATGTCATCGATTTTATATCTTGCTATCTATGGATCTTTCTATATAAATGGACTTCAAAATTGAAATCCTCGTCTTTGAAATATTTTATACTGAAAAACTCATGTTGTTTGGACCGTTCGGTTACGAGTTACTTTGTTTTGAATATTCAGATATTTCTTCAGATTTGACTGTAATTTGCTGCTGCAGTGAAAAAGTTTCATTACTGCAACAAATTCTATTGAAATGTATAGGGAAAGCTTAATTTTGAAAATGAGTTAATTCGCTGTCTGACAGCCCAAACAACATGAAATTTTCGGCACAGACTAATTTCAACATGAAGATTCTAATTCTATGATCTATTTTTGCCATATGTGATGATAAAAACTTTAAGAGACGAATTTTACGGTAAAGTGAAAGACAGCGTATGTAGTGTTACATCTCGTGACTGTAGACTATAATATGAAATACGCACATTACCTGAAAAAAACTCATCGATTTTAACGACGTACTTGGCTTTTGAAGGCACGATTCGTTTATTTAATAACATCAACAATTATAAAACGTAGAAGTGCGAAGAATTCAAAACATTCAAACCAAGAAACGCTCACTGAGATAGGCAATGATGGCTGGGCCTATCTAAAATTTGCGAAATATGGGGCAAGGCCTTTGTTCGGAACGAGCATTATTTGACTTACTTTTTCTGGCTTCTGCGACAACTTCTGCTGCTTTTTTCTCCGCTGCTAAAAGCTGCTGAATTCCTTGTGACTGTGAGGCCATTTTAAAACTTTTTGGACGAGTTTCTGATTGCTTTTCTTGATAAACTTAACCTGAACTCAGTGACCTAATACAAGCAGCCTCGAGGTCAACCCTATTTGTGCTTCGCAGTTTCGCAGTAACAATATATCAGTAACGCAGCTCTGGGCTTGACGTCCACCATATAAAGATGGCTGAGAAGTCTGCATGTACTCCAAATAGTTTGTGGAAGGAGATGTTTTCTCCCATTGTAGAACTCGCAACGTTGGCTTTGATAATATGGAGCAATCGTGGATCACTTTTTGTGCCCTTTATAGGCGACTTGCACTCTCATAAAGTGACAATTTTTGCTACTTCCTTGTTATTGGTATGTCTTCACCTTGCCGACAGAGGTAGAAAAAGCAGACACAGGGGTTTATTATATCGTGAAACGTCTAGACAAGGAATTGTTGTAGGTGCAGTTATATCACTAACATTTGGCTTGATTCAAATAAGTCATTCCTCGCGGCATTCTTCAAGCAAAACGATATCCTCTGGCCCAGAGATGACAAATCTCTCATACGTTTATGCTCAATATACTTTGGCAATGTTTATTGCGACGATACTTTATGGTTTTTTGTTCATTTTGAATATAGACATTACATTTGCTGCTCCTGTGATAATGCTGTCGCTTGGATTTCTCCAGGATCATTTCACAGATACAAATTTCTTGATTCCACTAACTGCAGCTGTTGTGTATGTTGCTGTGTATATGGCCGTTGTCAAGCTTTGTCCAAGAAGTTTTTCTATTGGAGAAGCAGTCATTCTTTCACAAGGCCTCACATTTTTGCTTATTGATTACACTTTTTTGCTTCTGCTAAAAAGTGGTTATGGTGAACTTTTAGGGATGCAGAATTTGGATATGCTAGAGACCAGAGTACAAGAAACATTGTTTCTCTCTACTTTGTTGGCCTGCAGTTTTTTCATATCAGTTTGTCTGAGCCCAGTTTTCTACTGCCTTGCATGGTATGCAAAAACAGCACATGACTCATTGATATATAGCACTGCCTTTTATATTGGTGGTGTAATGAATGTAATAGCAATTTTTGTGCCATCCAGCTACATTGTCCTTGGTGTGAATCCAGTTTGGTATCTCATTTCATTTGCCAAGCCATCAATCATGCTGATTGTCTGTTATTGGGCTGCTCTGCTTGTTCTTGCAATATCGGTTGTCGTATGGAATAAAAATTACAATACAGATAAAAACAACAAGAAAATACCAAACATAGTCATCAGGAAATTTTTTCATTTCATTGGCATACTTATTTTTGTCCCAGGTATATATTTTGAACCAAACTTTACGAAAGTGGCATCTGGTGTTGCTGTTGCTGTATTGGTAATTTTGGAGTATGTCAGAATATTTACAATATACCCTTTTGGGAATACTTTGAACAAATATTTGACAACATTTGTTGATGAAAGGGATAGAGGCTATCCTATCCTGACACATTTATATTTGCTACTCGGTTTCTCTATACCAATCTGGATATTTCCATTCAATTCAGTTCAGCCTATCAATCAATTACTTCCATACTCTGGAGTCATATCGTTAGGTTTTGGAGACACATTTGCTTCTTTAATTGGTAGATTTTATGGGAAAACAAGAATCCCTGGTGGTTCAAAGACAATTGTTGGAACATTTGCCTGCTTTTTGAGTCAAATGATTGCTTGCATTGTCCTGTTAGCATGGTACAGTGAAAAATTCTATTTGGCCAGAGCTGCAAGATTGGCTTGTGCAATTTTGGCAACTTCAATAATGGAAGCTGTTACTGCACAAATAGATAACCTGATTCTGTCACCAGTTTTGTTTATGAGTCTTTTTCTAGTTGAGATTTAGGTTAAAGCCTGTTTTTATTCAAAGTTATAGTGATAATTTCTATTGAAATCATTTATTTTGTAATTTTTAAAATTATTGTCAATTATCTTTAGTACTTAACTGAATTGTGAAAATGAAGATTAGATAGAAAAATATTTGATATAAATGAATGATGTATTAATTAATTTAAGAATTTTTTCAGTGCTTAGTAACTGTCATTTTCTTATTATTTTTCCATTAATTTCTGGATTCTACAGGTCCTTTTGCCTTACCCCGCTTTTTAATTAAAGATTCCAGCAGGGTTGCTGTGGCACCTTAGAAGCACTTAATACATGTTATCAGAATTAATAGCACCTTATCAAAGAATATTGACTCCTACTGCACCCTTGGGTTCCAGTTTTGACTTGACCAAATATGTAAGAAGGTCTTAAGAACTTAAAGTGGGTTTAGAAAAATTTTGGCTAAAGTTTTCTGGACAATTCAATTTTTGATGGTCTGGATAAGAAACAAATTTCCAAGGATATTCAGTGCAAATATGAAACCTTGTTTATAATAAAGTAGCATATTGGCAAGAAGACATCAGAGATTGGACCAAACTAGAATGTTTGCAGGCTTACCATCAAACCCCAGGGGGTCCATTCGATTTGGGGTTCTTTCCAAATGGCTACTAAATGGCCCACTTTCCATAATAAAACTACCACTTGACATAATCTTATCTTTTTTTATAGAAAATTAAGGAGATCTTATCTTTCCCAAAGCACAGGCAAGCACAAAGAAATGGATGCTACCAAGGGCACAATTTCGTTTCTTATGCTACCATTTGAGGGTTATTGTCAAAAAAGACTACCATTTGAAGGGTAATTTTTTGACACTTTAGCTTTGGTCCTTTTTACTCCTTAAAAATTTGGGTGTTCTTATTTTTTGGGCTAAAAGATTATGATGATGATGATGATGATGATGATGATGATGATGATGATGATGATGATGATGATGATGATGATGATGATGATGATGATGATGATGATGATGATGATGATAATGATGATGAGCATATGGGGAAAATATTTTTGTGTGCTGTTATGATGTGTAGGAAAAAGCAATGCTTAGAATAGAAACCTACTTTTAGAACTTAATACTTTTGAGCTAAGATCAGAGAGTCAAAGATCGATGTTGATAAGGTGGTATCGCCACCCCGCCTGAGTACGAAATAACGTCGAGTCTCGGGTCCCTGTGATATTTCATGGCGGGAAAACCTATTTTTTCAAAAGAGTCGCATTTAAAATTTTTTCTACATATAGGAACGATTTGGGATGAAAGCATATTGCCTCTGCTTTGTCACATGTAAGTTTATTGTGAGTTTTAGATTTGGATAACACAATTTTGTATGAAAATTTTTTAATTGTGGTGGTTGTACACTGGGGTTGCAAAAGGATGGAAATGGTAGGTCAAAATGGCGAGGCTAGAAAGGCGAGAAAGTCGCATTATGAGTGTTTTACAGGAGTTGATCAATCTTTTTGCAGTCATTTGTTTAAAGTTGACAATATATAACCTCCAACCACATTCGAAGATGCATGCAACAACCATTCTTAATTATAATAGCAAAATTATAATATCGATAATAGCAAAACCTGCTGTTTATGAAACAAGTCTAAGTGATCCCTTTTTGATATACTGTGCTAAAAGGTTTAGAGTAGAGTAGGAAACACTGGTAGAAAACAAAAAGAGAACATTTCTTCCAGACAAATCGGTAATTACAACAATTAATACTTTCTAAGATTGACGTAGGAACTGGGAGCTCAGCAAGTGCTACCACTTTTCAGAACCATGTCCCTTATTTGCGTTCTAAGTGATCTTCAGCAAGTTGACTGGAAAATAATTGTTTCCAGCAGTGTTGATTTATATAACATCGTTGAAAATTTCCTCATTGGTCCTTTATAAGCTTGTGCACCTTTGCGCTACTGGATGGAGGTTTTAAGAAAAGCGTATTAATGGCTGGCTGACTTGGGATTTCAAATGTTTGTCTGCTGCAAGTGACACGATCGAGAATCAGAGCTGTACCTTATTTCGAGGTTTAAATGTTTAATAGATGCTTATCAATGTCCAGGGACAGAGATTTAAAGGGAGACGTTCTAATTACAAGATTGTCAAGGTGATCTTGAAAGTAGATTCTAAACTTTTAGCATGAGTCTCAACAAAAAGTCAAAAACGACTAAAATCCAGTCGCTTGATTTAAACTGTAAGCATGTAACAGACAATAATGCTATCGGCTAAGCTAATTAATGATTCCCTTTGCGATATGACCAATCGTTTTCGTTGCAAACCTTACAAAAAGTAATCCCCCTCCTTGACAGTGAGCTGGAAGTCTACTCTGAAAATCTCAAATTTAAGTCAAATCCTTGGTAGATTAAAAACTTCAAAGGGTTTAGGCCCTGATATCAACGCTAACCAATCCCTGAAGATCGGATTATCGGTCATTGAAAAGATTCCTGTTAGTGCCGCGGGCCGGCGGTCTACTGGCTCGGCGTGTCGCGGGCCGGCGGTCCACCCAAGCATCTTTCTTAAAGACTGAATGACCGCTCGGTATATATTGATTTCTGTGCTCCAATTTTTAGCAAGACTGTCGATAAGTTGATTTTCCACCAACAATATGATTATCTGCGCAAAAATTAATTCCTGTTTTCTGTTCAAGGAAGCTTTGGAGCACTTTATACTGGAATGTGCCAACCTGTAATATGCTTGCTCTCTGGCATAAATGACTGGCCAATGATGATGATATTGAGAGTGGAAAAGTTGCAGCAAAATGTGGGCATTTACATAGAAAGGCGTTATATTTTTGTTGATCATGCCATTCTTATACAAGAGCTATCTAAGTACGCTATTCCAGATCTTGACCTTTAATGTCTCTAATCGTATCTTAGCAAAAAGCATCAATTAACCAAAGTCAATAGAACTGATGTACCTAAATCGGCATCATCAGATGTGGTGTTCCGCAAAGCCCTTGATTAGGTCCACTACTCATTCTTATCTATACAAGCGACATGCCACTGTTGCCGGATGATGAATTAAGCTTGAAACTCGGAGTATCAACATAGAACCGTCTTGTCCTAAACAACAAATAGATTTCTGCCTTAACGGTATCAAGAACTTTATGACAGACCGGTAAACAGTAATTTTCATAAACGATGGGCTATATGCCTTCAAAAAATTGCCATGCAGCGTTTTGAACGAGATCGTAGAACTTGTATAATTTTAAGAAAATTATGAATTTGTGAATGAATAATGTTAATAAAACATTCTGTATCAGTTACACAACATTCTGAAGTAGTGCTGTATTGAAAAAACTAATGATAAAAGTATAAACAACAACCAAATTTCAGATAACTACGATAGATATACTTGCGTTCGGATAAAAAACAAATTCAACCGCAGAATTTATGCCATGCGTTAATAAACCCGCTTTCAAGTAGAACACATCATAGTTTAATGATATAGTGGGATTGTTAAATTTGAAATCAAATCAAATTGCAGCTTCCATTGAAAACAACCCTGATAAAAAAGTCTGGCCATTATTAGATACACTCATTTTTTTTATAAGAAACAAAAGTCGATGTTGAGTACTCCAGTTTCTTAATGTTCTGGAAATTTCAATACTCATTGTTTCTTAAGAGTTTCTTAATTATGATGTCATGAATGATGTTATGAAATGTTCGGGACCTTTTTTATCACGTCAAGAGATTCGCTTCCGTTCTGATGCTGTATTTAGATGTGGAAAGTATATTTTTATCGCTTGTGTCTTGATTTCTAGGCCTTCAGGGCAATCTTGTTCTTGGATTTTACAAAATTTCGTTGTTCTCAGTTTTATCACGATTTAATAGTTTCTTAATTTTTTTGCTTCGAGCACTGAAGTTTCTTAATTTTTTCTGACTGTCCAGTACTCGTTTCTTATAGCCAGTTTCTTATATAAAAAAATGAGTGTATTCATGGTCGTTTAAGCCTGGTTTCCATATAGCTGTGATATGCCGTAAGGTTGCCGCAACAATTTCAACTTAAATGGAAACACCCTCTCCCAGTACCGCTGGAAGCGGCAACCATGATGGTGCTGACAAATTGAAACGTAGCTAGATCGATGACAACTAGAGGAGTAGAGATCAAACGCCAAACTGACGCAATGCAAGAAAGGATTTATAATCTTTCATTATTGTTTTACAGTCAATTTGAATCAGCATTTAGTAGAATTTGACAAGATCAGTTAAGTCATCTGGTGCATTTCAATATTATAAGACAAGTATGTTGAGCCGTTGTGACAATTTCCACAATCGGGACAATTTGCCAGGGTCTCGACTGTTGGAGGTGCCCAACTATTGTCATCAAACAAAAAATATTCCCTCTTTCAGAATTAAAATTAAAAATACTCTCCCGTCATAATTCTTAAGCTATAAATCGATTTATTTAGATTTTTCTATTGCACAAAAATTGTAAACAAATGAAAAGGAACCGACAGTGGAGCCTCGATTTCGATCTCGTTTCTCACGTGCGTAAACAAAATGGCTGAATGTTTGGCATCAAGTTTGGAAAACGAAATGTACGCAGCCCTTTGCTGGATGATAAATGCACAAGCTACTAAAAAGTTAAAAGTACATTGTATGGAAATATTTTTACGGTTCTACAAAATATAGTGGATTTACAATAACAGTGTCACAATCATGTTGGCAGAACTCAGGGTCAAATCACTGATCTCAAAAAAAGACAAACAGTGAGTAAACAATCCTCCTTTCTTTAGTGAACAAATAGCGCATAATTTACTTACTCTCATCACATTTAAGGTTTTATAATACGCCAGTTTTTGGATTGATATAATTTAAATGTGATTGATTAAGCAGTTGATTATAAACTAAACTTTGTATGTATGTATGGAAAATGTGTAAAAATGCAATAATGTACCATATCTCTGGCAAACATTGTGTCTGTGTTTGATTTCTAGTGGAGATTATTGTAAATCCTATTTGCTATAAATTTGATTTGCCAGCTGCCCCTCTTGTCTTGTCAGACACCAAGGAGTGGGGGGGGGGGGGGCTATAGCCCCCAAACCCTTCTCTGCAGTACCTGCCTTTGATAGGGGCAAAGTTGACCTAAGTGCCCTTTTAATAAAATTTCCTTTGGCATCAGCCATTTGTAATTAACAAAGAGATTTCTGTGAAATGCCAACTGTGAGCCTTATTCATGACAAAGTATCTCAAAACTTGTAAAAACGTTCTTGTGACAGCAGTTCACCCATTTTCAAGATGCCTGCAATAAATTGTATTAAAATAACAACCCTTTTACTGAAAACTGTCCCCTTGCCCCTTCACCATTCTGGCATCCCTGAGATACCATGATGACATGAGTGCCAGGATGCATTCTATGTAGCAAATCATGATAATCTTGGGCATGGGTTTATGTTCTTTGATGTGGCATTTGCTTGAGATAAGCATTTGCTGGTATGTGGCATACACATGGCAGTTTGAAAGAAGGCTCCAGGGGGCCATGGCCCTAGGCTTATAGGGGGGGGGTCCAAGGGGGCCCTCACTTTAGAAAAAAACATAAATTGTAAAAAGCAAGGGCCCCTCAGATGTTTTGGCCCTGGTCCTTGCATTCTCTAAAACCCCTGCAGAGCATTCACAAAAATTTTGGTGAAATGGCATGACAGCACAGTGAAAAGCTCTTTCAGTGATTGTTTGTTTGCATTTTCAGAAATGTTATCCTCAATTGCATATGAAACTTGACATACACATGGTTTATCCTTGGCAAATGTTTGGCACAAGTGGAGCTATCTTGTTTCATTCTTAGGGGGTTGGTCTGCAGATAAGTGGTATGGCCAATTTTTGCAAGATTTTGGGTGCATAACACTTATCAGGTGCAGGTATGCAAAATTATGTGAAAATACCAGGTTTGCTATCACTATCAACTTTTCTAGTACAGTCTGTAATATGAAAATCAACTATGTGTGGGGTTTTCCATATCTTGATTGATTTGCAGATGCAATCAGGGTTGCCATTTGGCCATTTTGATGGCCAAATTCCTCCATTCTGACCATTTTTCAAAGCTGTTGACCGACCAAAATTGATTTGGCTGAAAAAGTGAAAATTGGTCGATAATTTTGGCAGAATTTTGGCTGCAAATTAAAAGCCACAAAAATACAAAGAAAACAGCAACTTTAGCACAGACAATATTCAACATTTTGTTAAAATAATCTCAAAATTGCAAATAACAAAGCAAAAAACAAAGTAAAAGATAGCAGAAAATTGAAATTGAAAGCAAGTGGGAGCTTTTTGTAACAAACAAAGTAATTTTTGATTACACTATTACTCTACAGATATAGCAAAAAAGGAGCTTTTTTGTCTGTTTTGTTTGGCTGGCCGAATTTGGCCGTCAACCATAAATTATTTGGCTGCCAACCATTCCAAGTATCTGGCGACCCTAGATGCAATAGCATATGATCTGTTATCAGGAAATATAGGATGCCTTGAAATAAACTGAACAGAAACCAAGATAATTGACTGAGAATTTTCTATAAAATTGTTATATGTTCATAGATTCCATGGTCTGTTGAAGCATTGCCATGAAATGTCACAGACTTAGGTATCATAGCAGATGTTCATAAAAGCATATTTTACCATTTGATCAGGCTATTTTGCACTATAATATGAAAATCGCAGAATGCATAGCTTCTATGTGACGCTGTTGTTGTATTGCATGTTGGTTTATTTTGACACATTGCTAGAAACCAAGAGAACTGCCTTTAAATTTTGAGACTTTTGCTTCCTGCTGCTCTAGAAGTCTTTAAAACAAATTTTCTTATTTTAAGGCTGCTGAATTCGAAAGAAATTTTTCCTTGCAGATTTTCCATGTTGTATGGGGAACAGCAAATTTTCCTTGCAAACCGTTTTAATGAGGAACTGCAAATTCTTTTACAAAAAATCTACAAAACATTTCCAACTACTTCCTCGTTGAACGAATTCAATATGTATATTTGGTTATTGAGCCAAGAAGATTATATTACAACAAACCTTTTAGGGACTTTCTGCAAAAAGTCCATTGAAAAAAGATCAAAATTTTTAAGCGACCCCACAAGCATTTTAGATTAACAGCTAATAATTTTGTAGTTTAGTAGCTTTTGCTGAAAGTTTAGCTTTGTATTCACCATAGTTGTTTTGTTATTGATGCATGGTTTAAAAATTGTAATTGTAAAATTGTAATTCGGTGTAGTACTGTAAGCAGTTAAGGGCAATCTCGGCCTAGATACTTGAATTGCAAAAAAGAAAAAGTATGTGCTATGGTTTTCTCACCTTGGATATTTTAGGTGTGTTTAGAGGCGATCACATGCCTCATAATGTGAAGACAGCCACTATAATATTTTTTAGTGTACATGAGAACAGTAATCTATGTAGGCACTAGATAAATCCATCCATCAACTAATCTAACAAAATAAACACTGTACATTATACCAGACGCACTGAGATTCTTTTTTGCATAATAAATAAACCAGCCACCATGTCCATAGGTTGCTATGCTGGGTATTGTCAGCTTACAATATTCAAACAAGCATTATTGCGTTTTTGATTTCTCTTTCTTGACGTTCTTGGATTCCCTGTTTCAGGTTCTTGCTCAGCTCCTCAAAATTGGTATGTCAATTTCACCCCTGGTGGGTCTTTCAGACATGTTGCTTGAAAGGTGAGTTGTATTCATAGCCCTCCTTAAGAGATATAATATTCTTCTGGTACAATCTCAATTTTCGTTCCAATATTTCAAGCTTCTGAAGACCATTTATCTGGATCTTTGTTTTCAGTTGAAAATATTATTCATCTTTTTCATTGCAGGTCGACTAATCAATTTGCAGATCACTAGGTGATATTAATGACATGGCAAGTCACGTCTTGATTGACAAGGCAGCGAGTAGTTAAAATTTTAGTGTCTACTCAAGAAGAAAAATTTCCTGATTCAAAAGTAAGTTTTCTGGTTTTTTTCAGCTTTATATTGACTGATCATTAGTTTTGTATCCAAATAAGTCTATGTGTGTGTCGATATGGCCTTCATTAGACGAAGCGAATTTGACTTTTATTTAACTAAGGGTTGATAAGTCAGTAGATTCTGATGAATATAGCGTTAGTTTGCTGTCATAATCATATTCACTAAAGAAGAGTTGGACAGATCACTCAAGTTGCAGTAGAGGGATTTAAAACCTACAATAGGCTCAGTGAAACAAGCTTTTACCTGTTTGAGGAATAAACTATGCCGTGTATATTGATGACATCAATCCTTAGCAGGCCCGTAGCCAAGGGGTGGCATGGGGTTGCAATGCCACCCCTGGAGCGAGAGAGTGCCGACTGTTTGCCATTCCCGAGAATTTTCTCTTCATTTCTAATACAGTTTTTCTTCGTCACTGGATTGCCGTAACAATTTGATTCAGGATAATGCTGGCGAAAGGAAAGATTCTTATTGGGGTCTATTATTACCCATGTAGAACTTAAGATTATTCCTGGCGCTCAAAAAAACTTTCGCTGCCAGGCAAAAACTTCACAGTGGTCATGGCATTTCAAATTCACAAGTTATGTGAACAAGAAATTTTGTGGACAATATTCTATAGTATAGACACCCAATGGAACAATCAGTGGTCAGCAACATTCATCGAAGAAGGGCCTTTGTTCCCAAACACTTTGATGATTTTGTCAGAACCGACAGTGATATTTCTAGTGTCAGTATTTGTTCCCACTAACTCTAGCCTTCGCCCTCTCCCCTACCCCTACAAAAACTTTACTTTAAGCTTTGCCTGCATTGAACACGGAGTGTTTGCCACCCCTACTCACCACGCCTGACTACGGGTTTGTCCTTCAGAGTTCTAGGACAGGCCAACAATGTGCAATGAAATGATTAAACATATCTTAACGAGAAAGAGACACTGGTCATTTGATGCCAACTAAGGAAGTAGTGTTTATAGAACAAAAAGTCATAATTTTCTTCTGATTTGAAAGCGCTTTCTTGCCCAACAATAGGAGCCAAAATAGCTAGTCACATTTTGAAAAGTTTGTAAATGAATAGCGATAAATTCTTCTCAATACAATTTACCAGTTAATGTCACCAGATGGGTTTGTCCATGCCCTTTTCGCAGAAACGGCAGCAAATATAGCAGATGGAACTTTATTTATCAAAGCAGAAGCTGTAACATCGATTGTACGACCGACTCTCTGGCCTAAGAAGATCACCTGCCGGTTTGCACCTATTGGGAGACTTTTATTATGACCGTTTCAGGAACGAGTTTTAGGACAAAGAAGGTGCGTGGGACCCTTACAGCCAAATATAGGGGCTGTCAAAGGCAAAAACCGGCACCAATAAATCTGGCACCACCCAGACCTGCTATATTGTTTAATTTCTTCGAAAACACTAGGCCCACCGCCTATAACTGTTGTTAACGTCAGTAAGCATGGATTGTAAGTGCAATGTTTGGTAGACGAATAGAAATGTTGATAGAGTTAGTGGGAAAAAGGTTTCTATCTGTTTAATTCAGGAGGCAAGGTGTAAAATCCATTGATGGTGCCAGATTTATTTGGGCTACAGGAGAAATACGATAGACCTATCAGGTCATGTATACCAAAGACAGATTTTGCAACGGGCAAATTTTTTGACAGGAGCTTTTTCTTAAAAACAACAGCAGAAATTGTAAGCCTGATTGTTCCATTCAGAGATGCAGTTTAGGTAAAAGCTCGATTAAAAAGTTTCTGTTCTTGCCTTTATTCGCCCAGACCCGAGAGAATAGTTCGACTGCTGGGATAAGGGGACTGGCTCTTTTGTATAAAAGTGGTGAGATTATTCACAATTTTATAGAAGTGAGGCACCTACCCCACCTTCGAGAATTTTGTAACTCCCAGCCAAGCTCTAAATACAGTTTAGCACGCAGTGTCTCTCTCCATGCCCCTGTAATAGCAAGAGCTGAGTACTGGACTGACTCTATTTTTTCCATTAGTTTTAATAAAATTATAATTTGACTGAATTCACAAACTTTAGCTGGAATATGATAGAAAACATCCCCATAATCCAGGAGGGATCGCATATAAAGCTTATATATCATTAAGGAAATTCCTGGGCAAGTAATTAGAGAGATACTACAGCAGACCAATGCCCTTTCTCGTTTAGGAGATAGCAGATTTTATATGTGAAAAGAATGAAAGTTTCGAGTCCAGGACGATACCAGGATATACTTCTTTACTTTTTTTACCGTATGTTTATTTTCTGTAATGGGAATAACAATAGAAACCCAAGATTTTCAAGATTTACATATTTTGAGTTTTTTTGCTTTTTTATTAAATTATTCACAGGAAGAATTGTTTAATCAATTTTAGCTGAAAAAGACCTATGGCCATCCGCTTCTCCATTTAAGGAACGTTTTGGGAGTATGTTCTCAAATATGTTCAACTCAAGACAGAGATCAGTTGACTTTTCTCAATACTAAAAAGAAAGGAAATTCATGTTAATAGAGGATCAAGACTCTCCTACATAAAAACTTTATTTTAAATTGACTATTCAATCATCTATGATGTGACAGCTCCTTTAATTTTTACCCTAGCATGCGCCTAAATTCCAATTCCTGTTTCTTTTTTCCTCAGTTCGTCAACAAGACAAGGTCGCACTAGTTATCTGTTACCGATCTCATCTTATTCCTCAAAGGTAACAGATTTTTTATTACATTATCATACTTTTTGTGCTTATATTTTTATCTATTTTTATCTAATATACTTCTATCTTAGCTGGTTGAAAAAGACCATTCTTGGCTAATCTTGAAACCGGTGCCGAGAAATTTTTATTGTCCTAAAGACTTTCAATAAATATTTTAGTAACTTTGATTCTGATCACATTTATACTAAGAAATATCGTGTGTATAAATTTGCCATGTGTTTAACCATAATTCGATCTTAATTCAAAATTGAACTGTTCAATAGTTTGATGAATTTGATAGATTTAATGTACGATAAAAGCTGTTTCAAAACAATCTTTAAGCCTCTGGAAATGGCTGGCTGAATTTATGAAGTTTTTTTAGAAAAAAATTTAGGCTTTTGAAATGTTTTTCCATTTTCTGTATCTACTTTTCTAGATATGTTATTCAATCTCTACCTCTAATTGAATGATGGTAGTTAATGCAAATAACACTGTACCTGACTGAGCTTCTCCAAATTGATAGGCATTGCAGAAAGTCTGTGATATGAAGAGCCTTTAAAGAATCAGATTTTTGCTATAAGGATAAACAATTTACCACATTATACATTTTGCTTTTACATTTCTAGTTATAGTTAGAATATTGGCAAGAGTCCAAAACATCAATATTGAAATCCGGCAACATTCTAAAATTGCAAGTGATAGGTTTTCTATGACGACAAACAGTGATATATCAACATAACCTCTCTTTCTTGCAGTTTCTCCGTCTGTTCATTCTTTTTAAACCTAAGCGTATTGTGCATCATTCGTATCCAGTTCATATGTTTTTGCTATTTATATTTGTGTCACTTTCAACCACATTTCTACATCTCTTTCATCTATTTACTTCACCTTCCTTTTTTGTAGCGTTTGGCAACTCCCAGTTAATCCATTTCTGTTTTTTTGTCACATGTGTCATCTTTAGGTAATTTCTCTCATCTTCTACTTAATCTGTTGATATTTTGTTATATTCAACTCTTTACGGTCTGTTTAATGGCATCCCGCTCTTCCTAATCTCTCCTCCTGCTTGATACATCATCATTTTTGTCAAGATCTTTTCCTTTAATCGTTTTTCGCCGAATTGGCCCCGATCCTGTGTTTCATCTCTTTTCTTTGCCATCTCACCTGTCCATCATTCCGCTCTATTGGTCGATTTTCCCTTGTCTGTGACTGTTTACTCTACATTTCGTTTTAGCATTGTCTATTCACAAAAGAAATGTACTCTCTTTTCTCTCTCTATATTCTTTCTTCTTGTAAGGTAACTCTTCCCTCTTTTTTTACTTGAGGACTTTGATTATTAAATTCATTAAATAATGAAGAAATGCAAGTGATAACATAAGTTGGGTTGCTTCCCATTAGTTTTGAATACTCTGCCTGAGTGTCAGTGATGTTTTTGCATGATCTGCTATCAAAAAGACTTTGAATCCTAAAGTGCTACAGCTGCAATGCTTTCCTTTCTCGTTTTCTTATTTATTTTAGGCTTATTTATTGTTATTGCTCATTCCTTCATTTCTTTTTTCTTAGCCTCGTCTTATTTTGTTCCTGTTTCTCTCAAACCTTTTTTTTTCTTTTGCCATCTCACATTTCAAGCATTCCGTTCTATTGATCGACTCGTCCTTGCCTGTGATTGATTATTCCACAAAATCTGTCCACAAAGAAAATTTACTCTTTTTTATCTTTCTTTCTTCCTTCTTCTTGCAAATCGATTATTATCCTTTTTAATCTCAGACTATAATCATTGAATACATTAAATAATCAAGGAAAGTGAGCGAGAGGTTTTTAAAGTTGCTGGCCTGTTGTGTTTTAAAAGCTTTCATTTTTTCTTGTCTTACTTTTTGTTGATACTTTTGCTACTTCTGCATCAGTTTTGTCTATTTATGTTTTCATTTTGTCATGCTTTCAGTGTTCCTTTTTTACGATTTTTCATAATTTTTTTAATTTCGTCAATATCCTTTTTTTGTTCCATTTTTGATACCTTGGTTTTCTTTTTTGCTATGTTTCTTTAATTACAACAGGTGCTTAATTATTTATTGACTTGACCATGATACTGGAGGTGGGAATATGGGAAGAAGGGGAAATATAAGACGTTTTGTGGACTTCCTCTGACTAAGTAACTTCATATTCTACTAAGTATAGCTAGTATTTGGGTACATCAGTATCACGGAAAATTCTTTCTATAAACTTTATAAATAACAGGTTGCTTTTTTGTTTTTAGTGGTCATTTGTTAACATCCTGACAAAGCTGTAGTTCCAACGAGAGTACTAATTCTCGGTTTTCGTCTTACAAGGAATGGTAAGAGGTTCTTCTAAATTTTTTGCAAGCAATTTTTTAAGTGCGATCTCATCCATTCTACATTCTTTAATGTTCTTCCATTCTACCAACCTATTTTCAAATCATAGCTACATCATTTTTCGTTAATTCTTGTTTTCCCATATTTTTCTTTGATTTGCTTTCTTTTGCTATTTTCTCCACCAATTATTCCTTTTAACGATTAGTGATCTCACTCACTTGCCTCCTAAAACTTCTCGACCTTATCCTGCATTCAGTCATTGCAAAGCGGGCAGTTGGTTTCATAATTATGCAACTACCTACATTCAAGATACCTAAACTTCCTCTGCAATCATCTTCTATTTTTTCTCTTTCTCCTCTTTCCCTATAATCCTCTAACAAGTCATTTTTTCAAATATTTTCAGTCTAAAGAATGGATCGTACTTTTCTCCTCTCTTTTCGTTGTATGCTATCCAATTATATCACTTTTATTTACCATACTCTTTGTTGTGAATTCCATTTTTCTTTGCCGAAATTTAATTGTACCCCTATCTTTCCTCGTTCTGTCCTCGTTCTTTCTTCTTTTTTTCTCCTCTCTCCTCTTTCTCTCCTCGTTCTGTCCATGCCCTTTCCACTTTCTTTACTCTCTCATTCCCCTTTGATCCCTACCTGTTTCTTTTTTTTCCTTTTTCTTTTATCTTTCTCTCCTCTCTTTGCCCTCTCTCCTCCTTCTTTTTTCCCCTCTCTCCTCTTTCTTTACTCGTTCTGTCCAAGCTCTTTCCACTTTCTTTCCTCTCTCATTCCCCTTTGTTCCCTACCTGTTTCTTTTTTTTCCTTTTCGTTTATCTTTCTCTCCTCTCTTTGCCCTCTCTCCTCCTTCTTTTTTCCCCTCTCTCCTCTTTCTTTCCTCGTTCTGTCCATGTTCTTTCCACTTTCTTTCCTCTCTCATTCCCCTTTGATCCCTACCTCTTTCTTTTTTTTCCTTTTTGTTTTATCTTTCTCTTTTCTCTTTGCCCTCTCTCCTCCTTCTTTTTTCCCCTCTCTCCTTTTTCTTTCCTCGTTCTGTCCATGTCTTTCCACTTTCTTTCCTCTCTCATTCCCCTTTGATTCCTACCTGTTTCTTTTTTTCCTTTTCGTTTATCTTTCTCTCCTCTCTTTGCCCTCTCTCCTCCTTTATTCTTCCCCCTCTCTCCTCTTTCTTTCCTCGTTCTGTCCATGCTCTTTCCACTTTCTTTCCTCTCTCATTCCCCTTTGATCCCTACCTCTTTCTTTTTTTTCCTTTTTGCTTATCTTTCTCTTTTCTCTTTGCCCTCTCTCCTCCTTCTTTTTTCCCCTCTCTCCTTTTTTGTTCCTTGTTCTGTCCATGTACTTTCCACTTTCTTTCCTCTCTCATTCCCCTTTGATCCCTACCTCTTTCTTTTTTTTCCTTTTTGCTTATCTTTCTTTTTTCTCTTTGCCCTCTCTCCTCCTTCTTTTTTCCCCTCTCTCCTTTTTTGTTCCTTGTTCTGTCCATGTACTTTCCACTTTCTTTCCTCTCTCATTCCCCTTTGATCCCTGCCTGTTTCTTGTTTTTCCTTTTTGCTTATCTTACTCTCGTCTCTCTGCCCTCTCTCCACCTTCTTTCTTCCCCTCTCTCCTCTTTCTTTCCTCATTCTGTCCATGTACTTTCCACTTTCTTTCCTCTCTCATTCCCCTTTGATCCCTACCTGTTTCTTTTTTTTCCTTTTTGTTTTATCTTTCTCTCTTCTCTCTGCCCTCTCTCCACCTTCTTTCTTCCCCTCTCTCCTCTTTCTTTCCTCGTTCTGTCCATGCTCTTTCCACTTTCTTTCCTCTCTCATTCCCCTTTGATCCCTACCTGTTTCTTTTTTTTCCTTTTTCTTTTATCTTTCTCTCCTCTCTTTGCCCTCTCTCCACCCTCTTTCTTCTCCTCTCACCTTTTTTGTTCCTTGTTCTGTCCATGTACTTTCCACTTTCTTTCTTCTCTCATTCCCCTTTGATCCCAACCTGTTTCTTTTTTTTCCTTTTTCTTTTATCTTTCTCTTTTCTCTTTGCCCTCTCTCAACCATCTTTCTTCCCCTCTCTCATCTTTCTTTCCTCGTTCTCGCCATGTTCACTCCACTTTCTTTTCTCTCTCATTCCCCTTTGATTCCAACCTGTTTCTTTTTTTCCTTTTTCTTTTATCTTTCTCTCTTTTCTCTGCCCTCTCTCCACCCTCCTTCTTCCCCTCTCTCCTTTTTCTTTCCTCGTTCTGTCCATGCTCTTTCCACTTTCTTTCCTCTCACATTCCCCTTTGATCCCTACCTCTTTCTTTTTTTCCTTTTTGTTTTATCTTTCTCTTTTCTCTTTGCCCTCTCTCCTCCTTCTTTTTTCCCCTCTCTCCTTTTTCTTTCCTCGTTCTGTCCATGTTCTTTCCACTTTCTTTCCTCTCTCATTCCCCTTTGATCCCTACCTGTTTCTTTTTTTTCCTTTTT